CTTAGTTTATCGTATTGGTTTATTTATTTAATCCTACACTTAATTATTTGATTGCTTGATCACCAATTGAATACTATCTACGAATCTAGAATTGAACTCGAAAGTGGGAATTCTAGATTGCATATAGGATTGAGTAAAGCATGTTCTTGAACCTGGGCATCAGAGAATGGATTCGCGTTTAGGATAGACATATACCTAATTGCGTTGCTTGGTTGATGTACAGGAATTATGAATGCGTTCTTGTTAGTTCTAATTCCATAGACATATAGGCGCTAGGTTAGCTTGAATAGGCGAGTAAGAACTCGGCAGATTCTTATGAGCGATATTAACCCTGTCAACCAATAAGCTAGATAAATTAGTTAGTCAATTTAATTGAAGAATACAATAGGAATGTTAGATAGCCCATAACCCTAGATCGTTTTCATAATATTGATAACATAAAAATCTGCTCTTCTTCTTTCAAAGTTCATTATTTGTTTTTCTTTATTTTAATTAGTTCAGAATCAAATACTTCTAGTTTTAATTCTCGTTTAGATAGTTAGGATAGTCTAATTTAGTTAATAGTTAATCATAAGTCCTCGTGGGTTCGACATCCGACTTTTAGTCACTTTATTACTTGACGACCGCGTATACTTGCGTGTGCGTTTTGCCGCAATAAGTTTTTGGCGTTGTTGCCAGGGACTTAGAAATTAGCTATTTTTCTAGATTAGACTTTTAATTTTATCCATTTTATTTTGTATATATTTTTATTTTTATAACAATTTGATTTTTCTCATAGTGTGTTCATAATTCTCTCAACATAACATCTGGGGATGAAATATCCGGACGTAAGGTTATTGATGAAGACGCTTGGTTGACGGAAGACTTTTATGGCCCGTCTTTTTGGGCTTGTCATGACCTGAACTCTGGGAGGTGTGAAGTTGAATATGGGAGTAAGGGTTGGTATTGGGAAGAATATTCACGATTAAGGGAATATGAGGAACGGCGTTATCTTCTAACAAAATTGGTGAATGATTGGTCGAAGGAGAGAGTTGATCTTGCACAAGAAATTGGCAAATTTGGCTTGGCTTTGCACAACTTGGATGCAGATTTGAGTGCAAAGGTTGATGCGTTCAATGCCCGACCATTTAATGATGAGTTGTGTGAAACTGAAAAAAATCTTCTAGACCAAATAGAGGAGCTAAAACGAGAATACCAAGCATTAGACCATATTTTTATTGAGGATGTCCATGTTGAGAAGAGTGTTCTAGAGTCATGTGAAAAAGTAGATAATATTACATTTGAAGACTCTAGTGTGTATATAAATAGTGATATAATTCTAGAGTTGGGGCGTGTTGATCCTCATTCTAAATATTTTTTCGACATTGTGTTTGGATGATGACATGGAAATCGAGTCATCTAAGCCTTTGGAGGAGTCAACGGAAGAGGAACAAGCTGCTTACATTCTTGGACTTGTCGTGCCAGAGAGAAAAAATTACATTCCTCATATAAAGGCCGAGAAGTATAGAGTGAAAAATTTGTTACTTGGCCTATTTATTTTTGTATCCCCATCAAAGGAGCATAGCCACAGACTTGATGCCATGTTAGAGGTACGAATTCGAGGTGGAGGCAGAAAGTGGTTCAAGTCGTGCCGCGACGTTAAATCAGACGCTTGTTGGGAGGCAACCCAACTTTACTGCTTTCTTTTATTTTATTTTATTTTTATTATTTTAGAGTATTTATTTTTGTTTTGTAGGATTATGAACATAGGAAGAAAAGCCATTGGAAGAGTGCAAAAGCGAGCTAGATGGTGAGGACTAAGTGTGGGGTGCCCACACAAAGGACGATGCCTGGGGGAAGTCTGAGTACCTCGTGAACCGCTATTGCTTCGGCCTTTGGCCTACCAGGGAGTCTCTTTTACTCTCTTATTATTTATAGTGTGAATTTAGGACATTGCAAAATTTTAAGTGTGGGGTGAGGAGATCGTTTGGGTGAGTTTCTGTGCTATTTTAGCTTAGTTGTAGTACTCGTTCTTAAGTGTAGTAGTTTTTGTGAAGAAAAAAAAACGAAAAAAGTAGAAAAATTAGACTTTTCCCGAAGATGGATCTCCTAGATAGTTTTCTTAAGGGATTAAAGCCTAAACAAAAATTCAAAAATATGTCTTTTAATTTCTTTAGGTAGTAATAGTCCCATGTGGGTTTTTTTTGTGCCTCGGTTCTTTTTCATGGGATGTAGTTTGAACCGGGTAGTAGTTTTTTTCTTTTATTTATTTATTTATTTATTTATTTTTAGAGTAGATTAGAATTTAGGGAATAAATGGAGGAAGAAAGATGAAATTCCTAGGCGCCTTGACTTGTTTGATAGTAGCATATTTAGGCTTTGACATGTGTATTATCTTCCCTATGATTTGAAATTATTGATGATGTCTTGCTTAGTTGGATAGCATGTCTTGTGACGCCTATGTCTCATTTTCTTGACTTGTGTTCACTTTGTGCTTAATGCTTAATATCTCGTGGCTTCGTGAATACTTGCATTGTTTGAGAGTAGGAATGAGACGGTCCTTAGTGAGTCATGTGCCATGTGTGGTGAGATTTTTATGAGTCCATGTATTGTACTTGTGTCTAGAATTTGCCTGGTATGTGAGTTGAAGCGAAATTTTAGGTGATGCTCGGTTTGAAAAATGATTTTAGGCCTTCTTTGATCTTTTTGAGCTTAGTGCTTATCATAAATAAAATTGATCCCTAGTAAACCCTTTTGAGCCTATAAATTTTTATTTAGCACCCACATTACAAGCCTATATCCTTTTTGTTCTTAATTGATATTGTTTTGATCTTTGTACCTCTTAAAGCACTTTAATTGTAAAAAGAGCGCTAAAAGAAGTAAGAAGGGACTAAGTGCGGGGTGACTTTTGAGTGGAACCAATGAAAGGAATAGAGGTGCATTTATTTTGTAAAAGAATACGCCACTAGTAGAAAGTGCAAAAGTAAAAAAGAAAATAGTTGGAAAAAAAAAAGAAAAAAAGAAGAAAAAAAATATAGATAAATAAATATCTTCTTTTTGCTAGTGGAGTGTAAATGGCGATAGTGCTTAAAGAAAGAGGGAACACTGTTTGGGGTGATTTTAGTTGTGAAATTAAAGTGTATTGAAGGATTTGCGCATAAGTTATCATGTGATGTGTTAAAGTACTTAGGAGGGTTAATCATTATTCCTAAATATATCCTACCCGCCCCTTAGCCCAAATTACAACCATGAAAGTCCTAATTAATTTTAGATAGAGTGAGCCTACATTAGTGGGGATTTATATTAAGGGCAAGCCTATGGTACCAATTACATGCATGTGACTTCTTTTGTGAGAGTGAGCGATTTTCTTTGATATATGTGAGCATGAGATTCGAATGTGTGGATTGATCTTACTCTCTTTGCTTTTGTTGTGAGGGCACATGGTTTCACGAGGGATAGGTAACATTATTAGACTTCTCTAGGATGTTGGGTGTTCAAGCCATGAGTTCATTGTGACATTGAGTCGGGTTTTGAGGCTAGGATTGTTGTGAGCATATTGTCTTTGTTTGAATATTTTTGAAGAATGGCATAAGCAAGGGAAGATTATGTGATTGCATATGCTAGAGTTTAATTGTTGCTATCAACCATGATCATTGATGTAGAGTGCTCAAAGATACAGTTATTTGTTGGTTGACTCGAGGACGAGCAACGTTTAAGTGTGGGGTGTTGATCTTTGGCTTAATGTATGCATATTTTGATGTATATTGCCTCACATTGTGCTCATATCTCGTAGATTTCGGATGTATAATATGATGATTTGTGCTCATTTGTGGTATTTCTATGTGTAGGAATCATTCGGATGCAATTTGGAACGAAATGGTGCAAATTGGAGCGAAATTGGAAAGAAAAGGCAAAAAGTGAAATTTGAGGGCCACAGCCAGCGTGGGGCGCTGGCTGTGGCGCAATTTACAGTAGCTGAAATTTTTGAGCGCCGGGCCAGCGCCCCACGCTGTCCTGGACGCTCAAGACGGGAAAGTGGCCTTTTTCCACTAGGACTCGGTTATTTCGATCCCAAGACGCCCCCAACTCATATAAAAGCCAACCTAAACCTATTTTGAAGGGGGAGGACGTTTTTGAGAGGAAAACACAAGCACAGAGCCGCCATGGAGGCCGGGTTTCATATTTTCTTCCAAAAGACTTAGAAATTTCTATGTTTCTTTGTATGATTTGTTGTTTGGCTACCATGTCTATGTGGAGCAAAACTTCACGTTCTAGGGTTGTGGTTCTTTCATGACTATTGTTATTCGAATATTGATTTTGATTTCTTAGTTTATCGTATTGGTTTATTTATTTAATCCTGCACTTAATTATTTAATTGCTTGATCACCAATTGAATACTATCTACGGATCTAGAATTGAACTCGAAAGTGGGAATTCCAGATTGCATATAGGATTGAGTAAAGTATGTTCTTAAACCTGGGCATCGGGGAATGAATTCGCGTTTAGAATAGACATATACCTAATTGCCTTGCTTGGTTGATGTACATGAATTATGAATGCGTTCTTGTTAGTTCTAATTCCATAGACATATAGGCGTTAGGTTAGCTTGAATAGGCGAGTAAGAACTCGGCAGATTCTTATGAGCGATATTAACCCTGTCAACCAATAAGCTAGATAAATTAGTTAGTCAATTTAATTGAAGATTACAATAGGAATGTTAGATAGCCCATAACCCTAGATCGTTTTCATAACATTGATAACATAAAAATCTGCTCTTCCTCTATTAAAAGTTCATTATTTGTTTTTCTTTATTTTAATTAGTTTAGAATCAAATACTTCTAGTTTTAATTCTAGTTTAGATAATTAGGATAGTCTAATTTAGTTAATAGTTAATCATAAGTCCTCGTGGGTTCGACATCTGACTTTTAGTCACTTTATTATTTGACGACCGCGTATACTTGCGTGTGCATTTGGCCGCAACAATAACAATCTCAGATAAACTATTGACATAGAAATATGTGAAAACTTAAGGAATAGGGAGCTAATGTTATATAATGAAATCATCAATAATCTAAACAACTTGCTTTCTTGTTCCTCTTTTCTTTGGATCTTCACTTAATGGATTTGTGTGGGAAATTCCCAAAAGTTGTCCTCTCAAATTTACAAAAACAACCAGGGTCGTACACAGAGACGAATCCAAGATTTTAAATCGATGGGTATAGAGTATTATCACTGCATCCACCCTTACTTTGTAGTGGGGAATACAAAATTAGAATTAATATATATTTTTTTTTAATTTTTTTTTTTTAAAAAAAAGATCAGCTGTATGTATAGTTCTCCACTGCCCCCTCATAGTACACTTCAATGGTTGGACATGATTATTGGCGCGTCTGCTCTGTGTAGTTTACTAGCTGTTCAATTACAACCTGAAAAAGAGTTAAAAGTCCACAAACAAAGATAAGTCATGCACCAAATAGAAAGCTCTTCTTTAGAGAAAAGGGAAAAAATAGAAAAGATACTGTAGTTACAAAGAAAACAGGCATTAGTAGAACAAATTCAATCGTTAAGAACAAAAAGAAGACGCTACACGTCTAAACTGAGATACTTGTATAACCAAAATCAAGATAAATCGACCTATTTCAGCACAAATGGTATGTCCTCAAAGAATCAATTAACTACATTGGAATCGACCAACTCCATTATCCACTGTGTTGGAAAGACTCAATTCCACACAAAGCAAATGTAAATCAAGGTTCATTTTCAATAAGAGATATATCCATGAGATGTTTATTCTGCATTGTTTGAACATTGTATGACCTGATCAATGCATCCATACGCACCTCCATAGCTCACACAAATCAAAGACGCGGGCTGCAAGTTCCTAGGACTGAATTCTGACTGAGGGCAATTAGTCTGCACGTGGCAATAAGAAACTGAAGCCTGAATTTTCTCGAATAAGTGGGGGTGGTTCGATGTCTGCAATATCAATCTGATCCATTGATTTAGAGAGGTCATCAATTGAGAACGGTATGCTGCACCATGATCAACAAGTGCGATCAGCAATCAGTGAAAAGTTCATTCTCAGGACGTGGTGCACAGAAAGGAAGAGGCAAAAGTTTAGGATAATAGAATCTCATAACCAACCTTGAATCATCATCAAGCAAAAAAGAATTGCTGACTGCATTGTTAGAGTCTTCAGTCATTAATACACGCATATTGGATATAACCTGTCAAATAATTGAAAAATTCTATCCATTATATGCTAGGAGAGGACAAAAGTAAGAAGATGTGGGGCAACTAAAGATGCAGGAGACAATGTTCAAAGCTGCATAAGCCAATCCCAGCAAGAAATAATGAATTCATACTTTAGTGAAGCAGGGATTGAGGACATACTATTGAAAAATTGTTGTATCTAACTTGAGAATGGCCATAAAATCAATATGCACTACATGACGCAAAGGAACATCAAAATTATAGACTATCTGGTACCAAAATAACATCTAGAATATTTGTTGGACATAAATTATGGCTTACATCTGGCGAAAGGCTATGTGTGCCATATTTGTCATCCCAATACATTGTGCTGATTCTGTAAAGTTGTTGAATGCTAAGCACCTGTTCATGATCCACAATTTAATGAAAATGATAACATATGGGATCAAGAGATAGCTCTTCGGAGTATATAGTTGTCCAGTACTTACAGGACAGAGATCGTGGCTTATTTCATCCAATGTCTTCTTTGGCTTCTGGTGTATGACCTGGCATAGTCAAAAGGAGCATAATCAAGGATTTCTGCTGATGAAATATGGACAAGGCTCATTCCAATTCTTTGGAACTACAATTTTTAGGTTTGTTCACTCAAATTTTGTGACACATATCTTCAATCATGATCATATTGCATAGGAATAAGTATGAAAAGAGATTTCTGTTAGTACAGGGCAAGGACATGAATTTGTAATTGTAAAAGAATCTGAGAATCCAACCCAAAACCTTAAGTCGATGGGTACACTAACCCAGGACATTATAAGTTCCTTTGGAAACCTCTACTCAACCAATGAGGGGCAAATGTATTGCTTTAACACCCTCCCGCATGTGTAATCTGGTTCTATGGTGTACGCGTGGGCTGATGTTTTTTCCTGCAAATGCTTTTTACCTCTCTTTTTTAGAAGTAGAGACACAGGAGGTCCAACATGAGTGGTCTAGAGTAGAGGGAGATATAGTTGGCTCAACATGTTAATAAGTGGACCTGGAGAAATTTTATTGCTCGATGGGTTGGATTGAGAGAGAGAGAGAGAGAGAGAGAGAGAGAGAGAGAGAAGCCCAGTGCAGAATATGGGCTGAGTTGAGAGAGAAGCCCAAAGCGATTAGATGAAAAGAGAACGGAACCCAAAACCTTAAGGCAATGGCTGGAGCGACCTAGGACATTATAAACTCCTGTGCAAACACTTCCACAACGGGGGACAAATGTATTTCTCAAACAGTACCACTAATTTTCTTCTATCTTATATTACTAGGCAAAATCTTGCTATTGTTTTTTATCGAAAAATATGCACTAGAGGACGGTGTCCTTTGCCTTTGCTATCTTTCAGTTTATACATTCAATTTTCTCTTTAATCCAGATTAGAAGATGCATTACCAAAAATCCAATTGCCTGTCTTATATGTTTGAGCTCCTCCCAAGCTAGTCCTGCATACTGAACAAGTTCCTTTCATCAGTGAGAAAAAAGAGTGGGCGAAGAATGTTTAACAAGTGGCAGGAGACCAAGATACCTCATCAGTTGCTTTGTAGCACCAGTGTTCCAGTTCTGCCAAGCCAGTTTTTACATACTCACCGTTGCTAAATGAACAGCATTCTCTTCTCAGCAGAAGGCTACAGGAAGGAGGCACAAATAAAAAAATATAAGGTTTAGTTTATAGTTGAATCGTGAAGTTAAAAAATATTATGAGATGCCCCTTGACAACAGACCTGTTAAATAATTGGACATTGATGAAAGAAAAGACTTGAGTAAATACTTTGCGTACAAGAAATGGAGGCACCTGAAATACCAGAAATAAAATAACCCTAATTAAGAAAAAGCCAATAGGTACTTGTTCACAAGACAGAATCTACCCCACGCCTAAAAGTCGTATCTTGACGTAACCAATATATTTCTTCTTCTGATATATGTATGACTTAATTTATGATAGAGAATGTTCTGCCACAATGCATCATATACGTAACAGACGGTCACAAGTTTCAGAAGAGTACGGTCATTCTTCCTTCATCTAGAATATATTACTTAAATTACATGAAAGTAACTTCTTATTAACTACAGTGCAGAGCATTATTAAACTGATAGCTTATCAATCTGAGAGATACTGCTTTTCTTTTTCTTTTTCTTTTTACTATTTATTTCAAATAAAAATAGTAACCGCAGGTGAGTTGTGAATCAAGTTCTGGAATGCATCTCAAATCCTATATGATATTAGTCACTTGGTGAAGGAAATGATGAGAGCTATCCAACACCATTGCTTCGCGAAATCACCTAAGTTGGATTGCAAAGGATACTGGAGCTTAGGATTTTGCATAGTTTTAGTTCAATCAACAAGAACTATGGAGCGAGAATCTCAAGGATATTAACTATTGATACTAGATCAGAGCTCATTGAGTATTCATCCTTAACAAAGTAAAAACTATAAATCTCAAAAGTTGCCTGCGAAACCACTTCAGTCCTATCGTTATAGCTACTTTTGGTTCCAATTTTCTCGTCCTGTTCTACTGTTCACAGAAGTCAAATATTCAGATGAGATAAGATGCCATTAATCTTACTGTTATAAAACCAGCAATATGTTTCTGTGGCTCTTACATGATTGGCTTTCAATATGTTCAAAAAGTTAGCAAGGCTCTTGACAATTCCTTGCCAGTGAGCGATCAAAATTTCCTGAGCAGCAGCATTTGCAAGTGTACGTGCTGTTGACCCTTTAAGTAAACCTGCTCTGGATATTCTTGGTGCCTAAACCATACAGTGGAGCATGTAAAAAGGTTTCAGTACACCAAGCATCTAATGTTCTGTACTAAATTAAAATATTTAGATAAATCTACGGTAATATCTTTGAACCTGAATGCACAACCCCAGCAGTGGAGAAATCTCTTTCTTAAGATTATCACGGATCATTCCATAAATCTTTTCCACATATGCTGTTAGCTGCTGTTTAAACAACAAAGCGGGATATTTGGCTTCAACTTGGCGCAAGCTATCCGCTCCACCAGCCGAATCACCATCAATGAGAGAAAGATTGACACCTTGAGGGGTTCCACGAAAGCTCTAAAAAATTCTTTTATCAGCAAAAAGTGTTATAAATAAATGATAAATATCAATGTAAAAAATGGAACTATTTTCACCTGTGTCATTCTCCCGAATAGAGAGGCTGATGACGATCGCCTGTGCTGTGGGGTCATCCCAGCAGCACCACCAGCTTTCAACGTACGTTGCAGCAGAAGCAACAAAGTAGATGCATTGGATAGCCAATAGGCTAACATATCATTGTTGTCCTGAGTCTACAATATAGAAAAACTAGTTTTTTAAGTGCAAAAATAGACCTTTATTTTATTTATCTGCATCTTTCACTATGACAGACAATGTATTAACTATATTAACACTGACCTCAATAGCTTGACCAATGGTTTGTATTACCCTGTCAAAGATACTGGTTCGCTCAACTTCGAACGATCGCCACTGCCTAAGGCACTTGTAAATAATGCAGGCCGCAACAGGTCTGCCCTTAGAGAAGCCAAGGTGCTGTGCAATACACCGGATGAGCAAGTCCTGATACTCCTGTTGTTTATCATTAAGTGATTTCTGTGGTCTTCCCTCGACCTCGGAACTTTCCCTTGAAAATGAAGTGCTATGCAGATCCTTTACAAAAATTTCAATTGTTAGTCAACCAATAAAAGAGGTCAGCAATATACTAAAAGGACAATTAATATGCAAGCCTTTGACTTACTACGTTACTACTTCTTGTGCTCTCGGTCCTCTGCCAATATCATAGAACAGGGAAAAGTAAGTTATAGATTTAACATCCAATATGAGTCAAGGTTTGCAGGATTACCTGAATACTCGATCTTGATCGTCCAGACAGCAATTTATTATTCTGTGCCATTGTCAGAGCCTGCTGGCGAAGTACTTTATTTTCCGACTCTAAGTTGGTGAGCTTTTCTTCAAGCCTATTGTTAAGAAGGACAAAAAAATTCATCAACTAAATCCTGAAAAAGTCCAAGGTTCTCCGAGATGTACATTTTGTTGTACAAGGATATCACTGATAGACAATATTTGGTCTAATATTCCAAACAAGTGTTCAAAGCCGGTATAGATCAAGAGCTGTCCTTTCCTCGACATTACAATCATTAGCCACTGAAAGAGGACCATTAACTGACTGACTTCCGAGCACAACTTGAGCAATTAACCTTCGAGTCACAGGACAAATTTATAATGGTGTATGTACATATATAACAAAGAAACCTATTGCGTGAACCGTCTCATCTAAAAGCCTAAACTGAGAGAGGGTACATGTTTATTTATATATTTTGTATAAAGCACTTTCCCTCACATGAAAGAGATGGAAAGAAAAACTTGGTAATCTTCTTCACAGATACTAGTCTCAACTTTGAACCTGAGCTTTAGATCAAGTAGAAGAACAAACAGAAGGATATTCCCACTAGAAATGTAGATTCTTAAAAAGGAAATCCGTTACTTGTCATGACCCAGCATTACTTAGCGTCGGTCACGGTCTCCCTGCTGGGTTGTGACATTACTGTATTTGTTATTTTAATGTCTCAAGGGTCGGTGATCTCTATTCTTACAGTAGATAAGGAATAAAACAACTTATCAATTTATTCGAGTAGTTACCTGCTCACTGATTCCTGAAGTTGTTGTACTTTTTTTTCAGTTTCTTCCAACTTCTTGTGCTTTTCTTCACTTGATTCTTGAGCTTCAGCACATTTCCTCTCAGAATCATCAGCACGTTGCTTTTCCGATTGCAATAATACCTATGTAAAGGTTGAAAAAAGATGAATTTCTATGCAGTCTCTCCTTAGTTCTAGCATGGCGGAAATGTCATGTTGAGAGAACATGGGGTTAACTTTACGAGTTCAGTGTCGTTACCTTTAAAGTTTCCACTTCTGCATTTAAAGCATCAATCTTTTCTGTATCCTCGACAAGAACCGGCTTCTCTTCCACGATCGAGGTGGCTTCTTCAATTGCTTTCTGAGCAGTCTCACGTTCCTTGACGAGCAGCGCATTGGTTTGATCCACTTTGCTTTGCACTTCTTCCAAGGAATTCTTCAGCTTTGCTATTTCCTGGCCCTTTGCTTCTTCCAAGTCCGTCTGTGAAATAATGCATCAAATAGTGTCCCTTTCTAAAAATGGAAAACTTATCATAATCTTCAAGCCAAAAAGCTATGTTGCGCGGACTCTCCAAAATGCTGCCACACCCGTGCCGGATCGTCTAAAATGCACCTGGTGACATTTTCGGAGAGTCCGAGCGACATAGCCAAAAAGCGGCAAGAATATTTAGCTTTCAAGTAATATCTTGTTCCCTGATAATATCCAGGTTAATTCTCCACTGTGCTTACATATCAAGCAGGAAAAGGAAATATGCAATGTAATGCAAGTGTATTACCCACCCTTAGACGTTTCTCCAACTGCAGACGCCATGTAAGTTCTTCAACCTGTTTTTCAAGCTTATCCTTTGCTTCTTTTAGTGCACCCGTTTCTCTTGCAGCCTGAAGGTAATGGAAATGTGTATTAACAATCCACAGTGATACAACAACAACAAACCCTGTATGATACCAACAGGTGGGGAAACAATCCACAGTGATAGACACAAAAAATAATTTTACTCTATCAAATAGAAAACAACAATTCTGATACATTTTTCTTGACATGTGGAAGGACAACTCCTTGGCAGAAAATATTAGGGGGACTATAAGTTCAGAGGAGCGATTAAGTGATCCATCATACTGCAGAATAGCTTTAGTCTTTTGCTATGCAAATAACAATAATAAAGGTGAATTATCCACCAGGGGCGGAGCTAGAAGCCTGAATGCGGATTCGGCCGAACGCAGTAACTTTTGCTCAGACAGTGTATTTGTGTTCAAAAGTTCATTAATTACGAACAAATATTAAATTTAGAACCCAATTATTAGCACTTGAAGTTGTCGTTTTAAAATTCAGAACTCATAAAGTTAAAATCCTGGCTCCACCTCTGTTATCCACCTCTTAAATAAAGGCCTTAGCTAGCAAATTTTTAGTTAGGTCACAGAGCGTCATCTCAAAGCAAGTCAAAGGAAAGTGAAAACTGTAATACAGAATAAATGGGATGACAACCCTAAACCTACCATCTTTAGTTTCCGAAGCTCTTTCTTTGCAACCCTTCCTCTCCATCTGCATTGTGTTACAATTGATGCAATTATGAGTTTCTTGTAGTATGAAAAGGCTCTGTGTCCATGCCAATGTGCCTGCAAACTTTTTCTAGTTAATAGCAGAGAACACCTACTTGTTTGGGATTGAGGCGTAGTTGTTGTTGATGTTGTTGTTGTAATAGCAGAGAACAAAAAGCATGGCCAACCTTCTGAATCAATAGAAAACATAAGTAAACTAACTTGTATAATAATTGCTGCTTTAGTTTGTCTTTTATATCTGAATTCCTTTCGTGCAGCTGTCGCTCGAATTCCTGTCTGAAGAGCAATGACATTGATTTTGAGTCTAGTATAGGACTTTCGGGCCAAGTGTCCGCGCAATTTTGTCTGGATTCTGATAGAAGCAGCTTGTCTTTTCATATTGTCATACAATTTGCAAGCAAGCCTTCCTGTTGAACATAATAAAGCGAGAACACAAAACTCAGTAAGCTAATCACATGGTACTTGTTTTTGCACTTATAAAGCATGGGCCAAGAGATAATGATAGACAAACCTCGGCATGAGGATTGTAAGCAAATTGCAGCCTTCTGCAAAGCAAGAAAGTATTTCCGAGCGATATGAGTTCTAATTTTCCTTTGGATTGTCTTAGCTGCAGTGGCTAGTTTCTGTGCTCTGCGTGCATCCAGCTCAGCCATCTGACCAGCTCTGAGAAAAACTTTCGTTTTTCCGATCTGCAAAACCAATCCGACCTCTCTGAGAAAATAGTTGATTCATAAATTTCGGAATTCATGTTACATTGAATAAAAGAGAGCATCAACCTTAAGAATGCTGCATGTAAACTGTACATGACAATATTGTGGAGAACTATCCCAAACAGACGAACCAATTTTAACCATGCGAACAGTGGATAGTAATAGTCTTAACCCTCAGCATACAAAATGATATAGTAAGCAGTGCCAGCCTACACTCCAGCTGTCCGTAAACAAAACGGATATAAAAGTGTTGCAGATAACAGACAAATTAACCACGGTTTAGATATAGGTTGATAAGAATGACTTCTCAAATTAAAAACATGATTTTCTTTTCTTTTGGTGAAAAAAGACGGCAATGGAAAACCTAGCTCCTTGCTTGAAATTGAATGTAGAATGGTCAACCTGAGATTATACCTTGCAAATTAGGTATAACAGATATGTTACAAGAGATGAGCCATATCAACAAGTTGAAGAGGGTTCTACTACATTGATTTTCTACTTAAGTCTAAAACTACAGAGACTGCTAGACGAGAAAGAGATATATACACATAACTGAATAACAAAAATGCTATTGATTGTGACGTTAAAGAACTAAAAAAATGAGCTTTGTAGAAAAGCAAGAAAACTGTCAAATAACCTGAGAGCCAGCGAGCCCCATCTTTTCCAGAATCTTTGTGCATGCAACTTTTTCATCGGCACTGCCCACAAGCAGGTCAAATCAAGATAGCATGTCACTTCGCCATCAAGAAGTCAAGACACCATAAATTAAAGTTTTTTTTATATTTTAAAAAAAAGTTGTTTTGGTGTAGGAATTCAAAATCAGTACTTACTGTCCTTCCAAGACCTCTGGAGCAAGAAGACCAAATCGGTTTAGAAACTCAAAGAATGTCTTACGGGTAGGGTAACCAGCACAGCTAATTCTAATTGCTTCTAGAACACCCTGAGAACAACAAAATATAAGCATATAGTTCAAGAGTACAAAAGGAAATTCTTCATCCAAAAATGTCAAAAGTTTTACTCACACCACAACGCAGTTGCTGTAATATGTTAACATTCTCAAAAATTGCAGGTTTCAGTTGGTTGTTGGGCTTCACACATCTGATGTAATGAGGTTCCGTAGAATTCAGAGTTTCCATCAATGATGTAAGTTGTAACTGCACCAGTTTAATCAGAATATCAGGTCTTCACCTACTTAAAGCAGTAAGGGTTCGTCAATCCTGTTATGCTATGATGAAAAATATTCTCAGTTCACCAAAATCCATCAAAGGTAAATAAGTCAGTAATTACCTTAAAACGAGAACCGATGGATGAGAACTTCGACGATTTGGCTGATGATTTAGTTGCCTCCTCCGCAACAGGAGGGAAGAGGCCAGCTACAAATGAGCATTTGGAAGCACTCAACAAATCTTGATGCTCAGGAACAACATAGTCTTTGTTCTTATCCAAGAATTGATCAGACTGGTATTGAACCTGAACAGAAAGTAAGCGAAACTCTTACGACACCAAAACCTTTACTGTTAGTAATGCCCTATATCCAACACAAGAACATTTGACAGCATCTAGCTCAAATGAATATAATTACCTCTCCAGCATAATGGGCAATGGTAAAATCAGTGCGAGACAGTTTTGGTTTGACAAATCGTTTGTGGGACTTGAATGTCTGATAAAGCTTCTGAGAGAATGTTTCATGAGTTGATTTGGGGAACATACTGGAAGAGTCCATTTCAAAGAGAATGTCAATTCAATCATTCAGACATTAAATGCAGGGGAGCAACGCATATAGCAGTATAACACTCATATATACAGGGGCGGAGCTAGAAGTCCGAGTACGGGTTCGGCCGAACCAAGTAGCTTTTGCTCAAACAGTGTATTTGTGTTAAAATAATTATTAAATATGTACGAATATTAAATTTAGAACCCAATTATTAGTACTTGAAATCGTCGTTCTAAAATCCAGAACCCATAAAGTTAAAATCCTGGCTCCTCCTCTGCATAGATAAAGATGAAGTGTTATACATCTTACCAGGCTTCATCAAGAAGAGCGATGATACCTCCAGGTTTCTGCAAAAAGCATTATAAATCAATTTACAAAATGCCACTTCAAGATGGTGTAGTACAAAAAAAGCGGTAGGCTGTTTTAAGTGGAAAGTGATGAACCAAGAGAATCGGTGAATGCTGAGAAAAGCATGGTGAATTTACGGGAGTTGTTCTTTTCTTCCATTGCACCACTAACTTTATAATTTCTAAAACCATACTTGGATCCAATTGGAACCTAATAGTATTGGTTTCCTCTAACGAAACAGGTTCTATAACAAGTCCACCGGCAAACTAAAGATAATGTAGTGATACAAGTAAATGAATCAAAAACTCATTAACTTAAAGGAAATACCATGACAAAGGAACTAAAAGATCTAACGGTGTCAATAAGTAAAAATGAAATAATTAAAAACTCTCTTTTAAGAAGTCGAGTTACATTACTTGAACAATTTCTAGTGATTTCCTATTATACCACTAAATTTATGTGCAAGGCACAAGCATGCAAATTAATACTATCTCTATTCCATTTTTTATGGCACCATTTCCTTATTAGACCATTCCAAAAAGAACGCTACCTTTCTATATTTGGAAACAATTTAACTTTAATCTTCTGATTGTATCCTTAGTGACATGCTTTTATGGCCACAAAAATCTCATGGCGTGTTTAAAACTACAAGTTCCAAAAGTCTTTTTTTCTTTCTTAGACTCCCTAGCCAGTCACACCTCGCCCCATAATTGAAACGAAGGGAGTATTAGAAAGTCAGGATCCAAGAAAATTCTGACCAACTCTCACTACACAAGTCTCCTTGCCCAGTTGCTTTTACTGTTGTAGACAAATGACAAGTAGAACTCAGAGAAACAGAAATACATGGACATATGAAGGAAAGCTTCTTCTGCTAACTAAATGAGGAAACCTTTTCAATAAGATCCAGAACATCTTGATTGTCCACAAATTCTATGTAGCTCCAATCAATTTCTTCTTTAGTGTATTCCTCCTGCTCCATCTTGAACACGTGCTGAAATGCAAAATTTTCACTCTAGTTCAGTTTTGGCTTAGATGAAATGGATAGAAAATGCTCTAAAATTTCAACCAGAAATACCTGGTTAAAATGTTGCTGCAGCTTCTCATTTGTGAAATTAATGCAGAATTGTTCAAAACTGGGACACAAAAGTTAATGAGCCAATGAGAAAACACCACATTTAGCAATTATCCTGTCTGTCCAAGAACGATTTGACGCATACCTATTAAGTTTAAAACTTTCAAAACCATAAATGTCAAGAACACCAATTAGAGATTTTGAGTTCGGATCTTGACCAATCGAGTTATTTATTTTGTCCACCAACCTATAAACAGTAGAAAACAATGCACCTTAGTGTCAAATAATCAGTAAGAAACCACATTTAACAATCTGGTCCAGATAATAGAATCATACCAGTCAAATAAGCGAGAATATATCGTTTTAGCAAGCCCATCTCTACTAACTGCTGCAGCATTAGGATCAAGACTTCTCTTTATAACTTCTTCAGGTGTGACCATTACACGTTTCAATAGCGCATCTTCCAAATCATTAAGATCACACCTGATAGAAGAATTAATCACATCAAATATTCTTGAACAAAGAATAAACTAATAGAGAGAAGTAAAATTTGAAGTCCAAGAACATACGCCAGAAGCTCAGCAACAGTCTGAAGATGGAACTTAGATTTGTCATCTTTTAAAACTGATGAGTCAATTTCTTGGCCCTTTGAAAAGTTAATATTACCAAGATGAAGAACAGAAGCCACTACTCTAAAAATTGCTTCCTGAAAAAGAAACAAGGAATAACTTCTTAGACTCTGAATCAAAATAAAAAGTTGCAGCACAAACTAAATGAACAACGACATTACCTGCTCTTTCTCACTAATGCCAACAATATCCATGGCCCTCCTTGTTGCAAGATAATCTTGAGCATCACTTACACCAACTAGTTCGTAGCAATTCGATTGATTAAGATAGTGAAATGATTTAGGATTCCCCAACTTATACTTTTCAACCTCCTGTTAAGATAGGAAAACTGTCAAAAGGACATCATGACTATCAAATAAATTTACACCAAGAGATGAAAGATATTAACAAAGAGAGAAGCTATGAAATCTGATTTACCTCCTGGGGTGCTGCACATAGAAGGTAGAAACAATGATAGTTGCGTTCAGGATCTGAAACTTGGCAAACACGAGATCTTTCAAGGAGGTAAGTTCTAATAGCTGCACCAGATATTCTTCCACTTTTGTCAAACTGAATCTCCACAAATTTACCAAAACGACTGTAACAACATATGTAATAAGCATTCAGAAGAAAAAAACATATGCCAAAGTAACTAAATGAGTCACTTCTTGATTGGAAGCATGAGCAGAACAGTATCTCACCTTGAATTGTTATTTCTAACTGTTTTGGCATTGCCAAACGCTTCAAGTACTGGATTTGACTGGAGATAAAACAACAAAAAGCTAAAAGAATGAGAAAACCAGTAAAGAAGGCTTCTAAGAAAATGACAGACAACCCTTAAGCTTGAAGACTTAAGCCTAAAAAGCGAAGTGTGCCATTAGCTTACCTACCTAAGTTTTAAGGAGTAAAGAGTTTAAAACAAGCTAAACTCATCAAGATCATACAGCTTACCTCTAGAACTTGCTGCTCGACAGTTCGCCCTTCAGTGCCTTTACGGCCACCCAAATAAGCAAGGTATTGCATAAGCATTTTAGTAGTTTCAGTCTTACCAGCCCCACTTTCACCACTGACCAATATAGAATTGCTTTTACCTTCATTGATCATTTGCCTGATTCATTTTGATATCTCAGTTATGATTGTATACTTTCTGAGGGTAAATCTTGTGGAATGGAAGTTGAACACATGAGTACCTGTAAGCGGCATCAGCAATAGCAAAGACGTGAGGACTTAGTTCGCCAAGCGGAGCTCCCTTGTATTGTTCCATCATGTGGCGATCGTATAGATGGGGCAGCCTTTGGAATGGATTGATGGCGATGAGAATACTTCCAGTATAAGTCTGTCATAAAGTCACATTATTATACAAGATTATGATTGAACCACCCTTAGTGCAGCAATTCATTCTCACCAATCTACAGAATATGGACCGTAAACTTACATAGATTTCATTGAGTTGATATCTTGCAGCCAAATTCTGCAAAACGCCAGGCTCATGCAAATATGATAACTTGGTCATGTCATCGACTCCGCCGGCAGGAGCATCTTCATCTTTGGGATATATTTTTGATAAATTTGCTGTAACCTAGATGAATTGAAAAGTGAAATATATGTAAACTGTTACGAGCCAAAACGTTGCCAATTTAGCGGTGTGTTTCTTGCATTGAAATTTGTGTCAACACAAATTAAGAGGAAACCAGACTGCCTTTTGTTAAGACATTTTTAAACAAAAAAAGAAAAAGGAAAAAGAGTAAATTGACGTAAATCAGAGCAATGATGTTTCTGCCTTTCACTAGAAGGTTATCAGATGCTGAGACAGCACGCATGTCAAAATATTGGTTCAAATACTCCCCCAGAATAAGTGGAAAGAAAGGATATAGTGCAAAGACAGTTCAAATATATGTCAATACTCCTCGCACTCCCCTTGTCATGGAAGTATAATATAACTTCTAAGCTAATGTGGAAGCGACATACACTCTTAAACTCACAAACTATGCAAAGTTGTACTACTAATCAAGATCATGCTTAAATTCTAAACAAACAATGCCGAGATACTCGTGAATAAAATCCTGTGCACTGGCAAGTATTTGAATAACACTATGAAGTTCATAATCCAGAATACATTCATTTGCAGTTTTGACAATGGATTTCCCACTCGAGATTCGTCTAAGCCAATAAAGAGAGATTAATCAGTTAGCGGTCAGAAAATCAGCTTGTCAGTTAAGTATCTCCTTAAATGGATTCCAAAATACACATTGAAATTGCTATGGGAAGACAAATAAGTAATCTGAAACTGCAAGAATAAGATACTGTTCCCTGTAAAAGAGCTAAGACATACCGTCCTCCCATCAGATGTCTGGACCTGAACATCCTGTCCATTAATCTGTGACACTTGTCCATCAATCCAAGCAACTGATTGATCCTCAATCCATACATGAGAACCTACAATGATATTTACTGGAGTGCTCTGCATATAGTTTACCTTTCCATCAGAACTTAGCCAAAAGCAGAAATTCTTTTTTTTTATCTTTTGTTTAAAACATCACACAAAGAATATAGTTATTTACTTATCGAGCGATAGAGGCTAAAAGAATAGGAACACATGCTCCATTATAAAGAATAAGTGTTTGCTGATGCTAAAAATTTCAGCACAGCATTTCACTGGGAAAAAAGGGCTCCTTCACGTGTTGGAGGATCCCGTTAAAGATAAAACCACATATTTTCCTGTTGATCAGTCACTATATCCATACTACTGTGAGATTGTAACATCATGTTAATATGCTCTCATTAGGTTCAGCTTTTAACTAGTTTGCTGGATAACTACGCCTGTATATCTTTTTCCCAAAGACGAAAAAGATAAGAAAAGAAACTACTGCCATATCTGAAGTTCGTTGATGACTACATATCTGAAGACTAAAGTAAATGAACAAGGAGAAGAGCTTCTCCCTGATTTTTTGCTCCCCCACCCCCAACTAATCCCAACCCATTATTGCTTTTCGGATGTGCAGACTTATACAGAAGGAAATACAACTCAACGAACTCATGACACCAACTTTCTATTTCTGTCACACTCTTTTCAGACAAAATTAATAAAATGTTAATCTGGAAAAAACATTTTTGAGTTTTTCACCTCGTTTGAAACTTGGCCTGTAAGTTGTCCTGAAGACCTCAATTCACTAATACACTCAAAATTCTGTTCTTCATAATTTAAATTACACTCCACCCAATGCTTCCTCAATCCCTGACTAGTGGCTATATAAATCAACTACACCTCATTCTCACACTCGTTGGGGTTAGCTATATGAATCATCTGTTCCAATTTATTCATGCCCTTTCATTCAAATACTAAATAATTTGTCTGTCATATCAGGGATTGAGGTCCTCTATGTTACCTAATGTAGCTCTAAATTATCTAAAGTTCCCATGAAGTTTTTGCAAAAACATGAGCATTGAGCCAATGACTTTGGCAAGTTATTCAGCAAGAATAAACCATTTCCCAATTAGTAGTACTATAAAAACAATAACAAAAACAACTACAATTATGTTTCGAACCTAAACTAGTGAGGATAGTCTATATGGATCCTCAATATCCACCCAATATAAAACCATTTACCAATTAGCAGTATACAAACAATAACAAACAACTATGTCTCAAACCTAAAGTAATCAGCATCCACTGTATGAATCCTCGATATCGACCCTGTTCCCATACTCAAAATGTTTGTCTTTTAAATAGATTAGGGTTCTCTAATACTAGTCCTTAAATTTCAACTAGTAAAAATAACACTCTATAACTCACGAAATGATTAATACTCGAGCAAACATGCCATGATCTTAAATATTCCCTCCTTCCCATTTTATGTGCCGGGATTCAGAGTACAAGGGTCAGATTACTTAATTTTCAGTGTGAATTATGACGTAGATTCTTCAAGTTATCTAATACAAATTTACATATCTAGAAACTACATAAACAATATATAAGCCACAACCGTTAATAATTAAAAACATTCTTAAAATGTTTTAAAATGTCGTGGTAAACAAACCTCCTTCATTTCCAAATAGTAACGAGTTTAACTTATATACACTGACAGTCAGGTTATCCAAAAAATATCTACACCTAACCTCCATTATAAGTGAGATTTGTAATCCTGAAGATAGGACGAATTACCTAAGTGATGTGATAGTGAACAAATTTTTTTACCAAATAGTGATAGTATCAAATAAACTCAATAGTGATAGTACCAAATAAACTAGAACAGAGCAGCTCGAAAGGAACAAAGAGTAGGAAAATAGCAATGCAGTTCACTATTCATGGAGTATCGAAAAATTAACATACCATATCTACTATTCAAGGAAGAATCTCAGACTACATCAAATTCAATTCTTCATCTATACATCCATGGCATTGACAGATTAGCAAATCCCTAGTCCGAGATGTAAAATTCCAGAATTTGGGGAAAAATAGAGTTACGAAATGCCCCCCAAAAGACATCAACAAATCGGCAATTGTTCTCAAGTCTGTGACCGTTGATCATCAATTGTTCGATCAATTGATTGAATGGGTTGACGTTGATCTGATTGAATGGATGTGACATTGTTAGAGACGAGAACCCAATGCTGCGGAATAGGAATTGTTGTTTGAATCTTTCCAACGCTTTTTATGAATCGTTGTGTATGTGTCCTTTGTATACGTTGTTGGCGGGGGCGCGAAAATTGCAATAAGAATTGAAGTTATATATACCCTTTTTTTTTTTTTTTTTTTTTTTAGCAACATCAATATATAGAACTTGATTTTAATAATGTACGATTGTGACTTAGCGCAATTGGTAAAGTTGCTGAGTTCGAGCCGAGGCTTACGGCTTCTTGCAAAAATGGGGCATTAGCAAAACTTTTTTGTTTGTAATTGCTGTTGTTTTGTATTTGCTGAACTTCAGCATTGTTTTGTATTTGCTAAACTTCAGCATTCTTAGAGTCATTTCAAAGATTAAAGAATGAAAAATATCTTCGACATGAAAATAAGTTACTATAGATAAATTAGAACCAAAAGCCAACGTGCATGTAAAGCTAAAAAATCTAAGAGGTTAAACTATTGTGAATAAGACCAAATTGAACATAATGAGTCAAGCAGATATATATATGAATCATCATGCTAGAACACATAACAATATCTCAAGCTTTAGCATTCAGAAAACGAAGGAGGAGAAGGAGGAGGAGAAAGAGGCCTGAAGTTGTTTAAACAGTTGGCACAATTTAAAACTTTTTTAAAAAGTGGGTATGGGTTAAATGGGGGCGACCAAATAGGGCGCCCCGTGTAATTTTTACTGCTAAAATGTTGGTTAAGGCTAAATAGATTAAAACTACTAAAATGTAGATTATGTACAACAACAATACAATTTTGTAATTTCATCTCTTATAATGGAAGACAAACCTCTTGCTGGTTACGAATTGTATGAACGATATTGTAGACATTAAATTGAAAATAATCAAGAGTGGAAAAAAAATACTGTAACAATCGTAGTAGTATTTCAAGTAATGTGAGTGTAAAATCTCTATAAATCACCTAATTCTTCTTTCCAATAGTAAATAAATTCAAGGGCCTTTGAACTTGATATTAAATCTATGTAAGTTGCCACGAACGATGATCTTGAATTCAACTAGCACGAACTGTGACTTGAACTCGTACTCTTTGAATGTTGATTTGTTCTTCGTTCTGAGCTTGAACTTGATTGCTTGAGGCTTGAAGCTTGTAGAAAAATTGTGACGTTTGATCCACGAGCTCTCTTCTGCTTCTTGTTATGACTTTTGGTATCTTGTCTGAGTTATGAAGACCCTATTTATAGTTGTGGAAGAGAAGAGATGCGATGAGAATAAACTCTTTCCGACCAATCAGATTGAAGCGTGACAAGGCCGCATTTGATTGACCAGAACATGTCACCCGCACATGTGGCGCAGTTCCATTGGCCTTTTAATTTGACTTGGTATGCCTTGTCATTTTAACAAGTGGCATGATTCTATTGGCTCTTCTGTTTGACTTGGCGTGCCGCATCATTTGATACGTGACAATAAATTGAGTATCTAGGAAGATGGCATCTTGGGCTTAATGAAGTGGGATCGTAAAAATAGCACGGTATAGCCAGTTTTCGGACCGGTCAATCAAAAATAGCCAGCGTTTACCAAGTCAATGAAAAATAGCCACTATTTTGCTGCAATAGAGACCGGTCCAGCATAATATACTGGAGTTCGGTGCACTTGTGTATGAACTCCAGCATATTATGCTGGACCG